AGCCCCAAGGGACACAGGAAGCGCTGGCAGCTGCCTGCTGTCCCTGTTTTGCCTGAAGCCCTGCTGGTGTCATCAGGGCTTGTTTTACCCTCTGGAAGGCACCTGCTCCCTTGTCCTCTAGGATCGAGGGAGCTGAAGGGCACAGTGGTTATCAAACAGCCTAAGGAGGAAGACCCAAGATGCCAGATCCTCTTTTCTACCCCATAGCTGGGCGCAGGCAGTTTGCCCGCCATGAGTGGGCCCAGAAGGCTGCCTACCTGCTGGGCTGCAGCCTGGAAGAGCTCTCCTCGGCCATCTTCAAGCACCAGCACCAGGGCGGCACCCTGCAGCGCTCCACCTCCTTCCGCCAGGGCCCTGAGGAAAGCAGCCTAGGGGATGGCACAGGTACCCTGAGCCCCTTTGCTGGTGGATGTCCCCGGAGGCCTCTTCCAGGGCTGGTTGCCATCTCTGGGGCAGGCAGACTGCTGGGGTGAATAGATGCTTCAATTAGGAGGAGAGACCCAACCCAGGGCTGTGTGCTGACTTGGCCTGGGTGGGTAGGGAGCACACCCAGGTGGGGAGTCCCAAGGAGCAGGAGATACAGTTGACCCTCCTGCTCCACAGGCCCCAAACTGAGTGCGCTGGAGTGCTTGGAGGGCATGGCGTCCGGCCTCTACAGCGAACTCTTCACGCTTCTCATCTCCCTGGTGAACAGGTGAGTGCCAGGCAGGGCCCAGGAGCTCCCTCTTCCTGTCCTGACAAAGGTGGGGTTGATGCCTTTGTGCTTATGTGATCGCTAGGCAGAGCCGTTCTCCACCAGCAGAGGGCTCACTGTCCCTGCAGGCAGGAGAGGCCCGTCGTCCCCACAGGATCTGGGCACTAAGACAGTGATGGGGATCGGGCTCGGTGCAGGGGGCGCTGCTGAGGCAGGGACACTGCCCTGGACAGCTCTGACCCAGACTCTCCCTCTGAAGGGCTCTCAAGTCCAGCCAGCACTCGCTGTGCTCTATGATGATTGTGGACACTCCTGGCTTCCAGAACCCTGAACAGGGTGGGTCAGCCCGAGGGGCCTCCTTTGAAGAGCTGTGCCACAACTACACCCAGGACCGGCTGCAGAGGCTCTTCCACGAGCGCACTTTTGTACAGGAATTGGAAAGATACAAGGAGGTAGCACTTGACCTTGCGTCTGCCTGCCCCCCACCTTCAGGCTCGCCTTCTGACCTTGGCACCCTCAGGGAGGGCATCTGTGGATGTCGGAAGGCACCACTTTCCCCGCTCTTTACCCTTTGACATTTCTGTCCCCTTCTGCTCTCCAGGGCAGGAGGCTTTTCCTGCCCAGGCTACATTCTTTCTTTGTGGAGAATTTGCTCTCCAGGAAGCCAAAGATGCATTCAGGGTTCCTGGGAGCCCCTCTTTGCCCACCTTCAAGGCACCTGCCTAGGCCCTGGGTACTACAGCCATGCAGTTCCTGCCTCCGCATGTGTCAGACCTGGCCTTCCCTGTCTCCTGATCTGTTAGGATGGTGACCAAGTATTTAGACCCCCTCCCCCATAAAGGGGTGTCCCAGATAGGATCTGGAAACCCTACCTTGTATGGAGATGAGTTGAACAAGCTAGGAAAAATGTTTATCTTGGTTGAGAGAAGATTCAGGAGGAAAATGATCATTGTCTTCAAGTGTTTCAAGGATGAGCATGTGAAATAGAGAGTGGGCTCACTCCATGGAGCCTAATTAGCAGCATAAGTAACAGGGATATGCACGTGACTGTAGCTCACTGCACAGGGAGGTTAGCTGACCAGAGATACAGGCTGGTGCCTTGAGAGGTGTGGAGTGTTTGTCAGTCGGGCTGCTGGAGGGGAGCTCCTGCTCGCATGGGAGATTGGCCTTGCTGACCCCAACGTCCCCTCCTGGCCTGCTCATACGCTGTACCCCACACCAGGCCCCGTTCTCACCACTGCTTCACCTTTCTTCCTAGGAGAACATCGAGCTGGCGTTTGACGACTTGGAGCCAGCCACGGACGACTCTGTGGCTGTTGTCGACCAAGCCTCCCATCAGTCCCTGGTAGGAATCCCAGGGAGGGCCTGGGCTGGCCTCTCTCACCTCTCCCATTCCTCTTCCTCAGCAGAGCCCTCCCTGTGGGAGCTGCTGTCACCGGTGCCACCGTAGGCTGGGGGCGCCCAGCAGTCAGGCCCAGACACCAAGCGTGTTAGTGCTGCGTGCCCTGCCCCTCGGCTCTCAGCCAGTGTGATCAGGAAGATGGCACTTTCTTCTGCCCTGGTGCAAAGGGGAGCACAGCCCCTGGGTGTCTGAGCCAGGCGGGAGGTGTACCTCTTCTCTTACCAGATGGGCTCAGGCCCTTTCCCAGCCGTGCCTCGAGTGTGTCTGCCAGGAGTCCTGGTACCACCTCCTTTGTGGTGAGGGCCTGGCTGGACCCAGAGGAACCTGGTCATCCCCTCCATTGTCCCCACATAGAAGACTGGTGCCGCCTAGCAGAGCAGGGTGGGGAGGTGGCCTTCCGCCCAAACAGAGAGGATATAAACGCCCACTGAGGGGCTGTGTGGATGTGAGCCATCGCCCCTCATTCTGGTGATGGGCTTTGTCACCCTTTGGGCCAGTGTCTTGGGCACCTTGCTGCCTGGGGGCTGGCTGGCCTGATGAGCACTAGGCGTTGGTGAATGTCTTCAATTAGGGAGGTTGTATAAAGCACTTTATTGGGGAATTGGCATTTTTGCCAGGTTGCTGGTTTCTCTCCTCTGCCTTGAGCCCTGCCTCCCTCTCCCTCCTTCCTGTGAGAAGGCCCTGTCAGGCTGGCACAGGGCGTAGGGCCCCAGGGAGGGTGTGTCCCCCTGGGACAGGTACTTAAAGTACCCAAATTCCACATCCCCCCAGGGAAGCTGGCTTTTCTTCCTGTCACCTGGGCCCCTGCGGTGGCCTCCCCTGAGAACCTTCGCCATTTCCAGGAGGTGTGGAGACGTCAGCCCGCGTGGCTTAGGAGCAGCAGTGGGTCTCATTTAATATGCCTGGGAGGTGACGCCCAGAGGGTGAGGGCAACATGGGGCTTGCCCAGCCCTCCCCACCTCTGAGGGGCCGAGGGTAGAGGAGAGGCTCTGGATGTGGGCTTGGGTTACTGAGAAGACTTCAATCATTGCTGACTTTGCACATGAGACCTAGGAATCAAATTGCTGGGGGCTTCTCTCTCTGATCTCTTCCCAGCCCCTCTTCCTCCTTGCTGCCCACTTCTTCCACCAGATGCAGCAGTGAGGGGCAGGAGCTGCAGTGTGTGTGTGTGTGTGTGTGTGTGTGTGTGTACACGTACGCACGCGCACAGCATATTCAGAGTGTGTGGCTGGGGCCAGGGCTCCACGTGACAGTGTGGGATTTCTCTGCTTCCCCACAGGTCCGCTCACTGGCCCGCACAGATGAGGCTAGGGGCCTACTGTGGTTATTGGAAGAGGAGGCACTGGTGCCAGGGGCCACTGAGGATGCCCTGCTGGAGCGCCTTTTCTCCTACTATGGCCCCCAGGAAGGTGACAAAAAAGGTAGGTGGCACCCCTGGAGCGCCGTTCCTCTGCTTCCTCTCCAGAGAACCACCTATACCAGGCCAGTTGGCACTGCTCGGAGCTCACTGAGTCCATGGGCATTTTGGGGCCTGTGCCCTGATGATCTGAACCTTGCTTCCCGGACTCTCAGGCCAAAGCCCTCTCCTGCGCAGCAGCAAACCGCGCCACTTTCTCCTGGGCCACAGCCACGGCACCAACTGGGTGGAGTACAACACGGCTGGCTGGCTGAGTTACACCAAGCAGAACCCAGCCACCCAGAACGCCCCCCGACTCCTGCAGGACTCCCAGAAGTAAGAGCGCCACTCACTCAGCCCATCCCAGTTTCTCTTCTTACTGTTTGAAGATTTCTCTGCAGTGTCTCTGTCGGATATGGGACGTGCAGCCCCAGCCCAGATAAGCCAGACGCCTGGCCGTGGGGGTGGTTGTGTGTCCTAGGCTCTGGGAGAAGGAACAACCTCTACTGCTCCGTGAATGTGACTTCTTTCCTTCCTTTGCCTCCCCTCCTTTGGTAGAAAAATCATCAGCAACCTGTTCCTGGGCCGGGCGGGTGGAGCCACGGTGCTCTCAGGCTCCATTGCGGGCCTGGAGGGCGGCTCGCAGCTAGCGCTGCGCCGGGCCACCAGCATGCGGAAGACCTTCACCATGGGGATGGCAGCTGTCAAGAAGAAGTCCCTGTGCATCCAGATTAAGCTGCAGGTGGTAAGTGTGCCAGCTCGGGCCGCGGGGCACTTCCCGGCCCCTGGCAGGTGACTGGGGCCTCCTGGGCACACTCAGGGCATCAGTGCCCACTCAGCAGCCCACCTGCATTGATTACTGCTGGTGGGTCCTCTTTCAGTGCTGCTGCCTGTGAGTGGCCACCCAGGCCTAGTATGGGCAGAGTTGTCCAGGCTTAGGACATTCTGGCCAGGGATGGGACACCTGCTATCCTGCATGGAAGGGAGATGCTGTTGCTGGTCCCTGATCTCTTGGGCTGTGGATGTCAGAGCCCACTGAAGGCTGTATCTTCCTATTTGGCAGGATGCCCTCATCGACACCATCAAGAAGTCAAAGCTGCATTTCGTGCACTGCTTCCTGCCTCTGGCAGAGGGCTGGGCCGGGGAGCCCCGTTCCGCCTCCTCCCGCAGAGTCAGCAGCAGCAGTGAGCTGGACCTGCCCCCAGGAGACCACTGCGAGGCCGGGCTCCTGCAGCTGGACGTGCCCCTGCTCCGTGCCCAGCTCAGGGGCTCCCGCCTGCTTGATGCCATGCGCATGTACCGCCAAGGTGGGGGCCCCCTTCCCTCTCAACTCCTGCCTCTCTCCAAGAGCTACCCCTCCCCCTCCCCACCTCCCAAACAGGGCCCATGGGGCTAGAGGGGTGCTGCTCCTCTCCTGCCTCCTGCTGGCCCTACATCTTTCTGCTGCTGCCTCCTCTGTGGATCTCTCCTTATGTCTCTCCAGCCCAGTCTGTTCCTTTCTCTTTTTCTTCCCAGCCTGCTGGCTATCCTTTCCCTTCCACATTCCTGTCCTCTTCATCCCCTCCCCTCCCCACTCCACATGCCCTGTTCCCACAGCTCCCTCCTTCCCCCTTCCCTGGTTTGGATGGGTCAGCTCTGCCCACGGCAGCAGACCCAGTACCCTCGTGGAGAAATTGCCTCTAAGAGCAGGCCAGCCCCACAATGAGAAATGAGGTGCTAAATCTTTCTGAAAAACTTAAAATTCCCAAGAAAGGTCAAATAGACCCTTTTTGTGGACCCATCTGGAGGAGGGAATAGAGAGGGTGATAATAATAATAATAATAATAATAATAATAATAATAATAATAATAATAATAATAAAACAAAACCCTTAGAGCATTTTCTAAACTCATCACACACATGAACTCAGTCCTCACAACAACTTCATGAGATGTAAGTACTAATATCATCCCCTGATAAGGAGACAGGTTCAGAGACGTTCAGTAGTTTGCCCAAGGTCATACAGCTTGTGAGTGGCAGTGTGGGATTTGACCCAAGCAGATCACTTCTGAGTTCATGCCCCTTGGGTAGGGTTTCATTTGCCTGAGAAGTTATGAGTTGCCAGGTTTCTACCTTTGTCCCTTAGTGGAAAGGGTGGGCAGTGTCCCACTCACCCACAGCCAGGTCCCCTTGAGACATCCCCAGGGGCACTGTCATTTCTTCTTGGCAGCCAAAGCCAGGAAACGGGCTCCCTGCCCTACTCTAAATAAATCATCGATCTGTCCCCACGTTGTGCTATGGAGTTGGTGTTTATTATTTCAAAACCAGATTGTTACTGCTCTGAACCAAAATCAATGTGCTTTATTCAAACAAGCAGATCGATGAGGCCAGCAGCAGCCAGCCCCCCTCCCCTCTCCCAGCCCCCAGCCACCATCGATAGCGCTGATGATTAATTAAGATGCCAGGCGTCCGGACCTGCTATCCCAGCCCATCAATTTAATTGCAATTCAGATACAATCAATAGCTCACTTTGTCTTGGCCCCTCAGCAGCCCCTGCCTCCTGTTTCAATTATCAGGCACATGCATCAGCCTCATCTCCCAGTTGGAGGGTTTCCCAGAGCTACTATTCCCATGTAGTGGAGAGAGCCCCCGAGTGGCTGTCAGGAGCCCAGGTCTGGAGTCCAGTTCTACCATCAGCTGCAGCCTTTGTGTCTGACCTTGAACAAGCCAGGTGCCCTACCTCCAGACCTCAGTTTCCACGTCTGGAGGATGTGTTGTGTCTGGCCTTTTTGGTTTGAAATTCTATGTTTCTATAGGAGTGGGTCTCTTGGTCCTCTGCTTGGGTCCTTTGGTGTCCTTGAGGTACCTCAGGGTAACCTCTCGCTGGCCACCTTCCTGACCTTGCTCCAAGTCAGAAGCCGCCTCCTCCTTTCCCTGACCTTAAGACCAGACAGTAGGAGATCTCTGTTAGAAGTAATACTCTTTAGAGAAAAAGAATCTATAAGATTTTTTGGTCACCTGGCCTAGGGCCCAACGTCAGGAGCAGGCAGGAGGGGAGCCCTTTCTGATACCTTGCTTCAGTGGACTGGGAAAAGGAAGGGAGCCTTTTACTGAACACCCGCCAACTAAGCCAAGCTGTACTTTCTCCATATCTTCTCATTTAAGTCCCATGACTACCATGCAAGATAACTAGTAGGGCCCTCCTTTAAAGAGGAGGAAACCAAGGCTCAGAGAGGTTGAGTGACTCGTCCAAGGTCACATGACACCAAGAGCCAGGACAGGATTCCAGCCCCAAGCCTACACACTTTTCCTCTCTGCTGTTCTCTGATGCCCTATTTTTTTTCTTATTAAATCCCTAATACATCATTCTCTGGGTTATCACAGAGTCATAGACTTGGAGGCTAGAAAGCATCTTAAGGGTTCATCCAGGCTTTTATCTCCTTCCAGGTGGTCAGCCATCCCCTGTTTGCTTCCTCACTGACGAGGCAGCTGCTTCCTTCTAAAAGAACCTGTTCCCTTTTTAAACCTTGTAGTCCCACTGTGGGGCAGCCTTAGCTGTCCTCTCACCTCCTGTTTCTCACCCCTGCCTCCTTCCTTTCTGCTCTCCTTTCCCAGATCTGCTTCAACCACAGGCTCTCCTCCCCCAGCAGTCTCTTCCCCGTCAGGTGACTCTGCCAGGGCACCAGTGGCTGTTGGGGCTCACTGGGAGCCAGCAAGGCTGATAGGCCTGGCTCTGGGCCGCTGTCTCCCCAGGTTACCCTGATCACATGGTGTTTTCCGAGTTCCGCCGCCGCTTTGACGTCCTGGCTCCACACCTGACCAAGAAACACGGGCGCAACTACATTGTGATGGATGAAAGGCGGGTAGGTCTGGGCACCCCCAGCCCCAACAGACCGTCCTTCTTCTGCTCAGACGCCTCTGAGCAGCTGCCCTTGCTCCCCTTGAGAGAGCCAGGCTGGCCAATCAGGACCAGGACAGGGACATGTGGCAGCCAGGCTGTGGCATAGAGGGAAGGCACCCTGGGTCATGGATTACAGGAGTCACAGAAGAGCCACCCACTTCGAAGGCCTGAGATGAGCGTGTCTGCTTTCTGATGAGCCAGACAATCCTCCAGGACCCTCTCAGGTGGCAGATCAGAACAAGGGTTTTAGGTGCCCCACTCGTAGCATCTGGGCCCTTCAGCCTTGACTCCCATGTGAGGGACTGCCTTCTGTATACGCAGGTATACAGGTATACAGGTATACTCTCCAGGTGCCTCCTTCCCCAGCCCTCCTATCTGGGTGGGAGAGGCTTCCCTCCCCTTGTCTGATCCGTTCCTCCTGTGCCTCGGAACCTGTTCCCTTTGGTCCCTCTAAAGGCCTGTTCCATCAGCATAAGTCCTCTCTCCTGTTCCCTCGGCCTCACCTTCTCTGCTGGCTCTTTTCTCTCAGTGGAGGAACATTCTGCAGACATTGCTCTTGGAAAGGAGCCTTCTGTCACCCTCCCTCATGTGCTGGACCTTCAGTACTTACTTTCCTCCCACTGCTCCTGCCTCACCACCGTTCATTCCTCCCCCCGTAGCTGCCTGGTCCCCACCCCTGACCCCGGGACTAGTCTTGTCCCACCACGCCCCCCACGTTGTCAGAGCTCATGGGCACTTTTCTGTGCTTCTTGGCAACAAGTGACTCTGTTCTTTTTGAAACATTCTCTACTCAGCTTCTTTGCTGCCACTCCTGGGTTCCCCCTTGTCTCTTTGTTCTTTCTTTCTCAGCCCCTCCAAGCTTCCCTTCTTCCACTTGCCCCCAAAGTAAAGGTCTCTTTCTTATTTGTCTCTCTCCTTGGCCATATCTGCTTTCTATTCTACACTGTCTTCCTGGGCAACCTCATTCACACCCATCACTTCAATTACCACATATATATTGATGGTCAGATCAATACCTCTCGCCCAGGCCTCTCTCCCACTCGACACGCATTTCTGTCTAGCTGCTTTCCGGACTTCTCTACCTGTATGCCTTATAGCACCTCAAACTCAGCATGTTCAAACCAAACTGATCACATTTCCTCCCAAACCTACGCTTTCTCTTGTTTTCCCCTCCTTGGAGGATGGCTCCATCATCCGTTTCCTGCATAAGTCAGAAACCTCAGTGTGTCCCTAGATTCTCCCCTCCCACCTACCCCTCCCCCACATCAGGCAAGGCTCCATCCCTTTAACATCTCTCGTATCTCCCCCTCTACTCCTCCGTTTGGGTCAGGCTCTAGCCTTCTCTCCTGTGGATTCCTGCAGGAGCTGCCTAAGTGGTCTATCCATCCTCCACTCATATTCCAGTGGGATCTCTGCAAAAAGCAAATCTGATCATGCCCCTCCCTGAGAGAACCCTCCAAGGGCTCTCCGAGCACACAGGCTCACATACTTTGGCCCCTGCCCACCTCTCTAATTGCACTTTAATTGCCCCCTCCCACCGCCTTCACCCCAGTTATACTGGACTACTCCGAGTTTCCTCCATGCTTCCATGCCTTTACACATGCTAGGCCCTCTGCCTGAAATGCCCTCTCCCCGGCTTTGTCTGACTAATTCTTACTTGTATCTAAAGACAGCACAAGCAACACCTCCTCCGGGTGCCTTCCACAGCCCCCTTGTCTGACTTACACAACCTCCTCCTCTGTGTACTTCACTGATTCTCTCGTCTCACTCCCCAACAAGATAGCTTGTTCGTCTTGCAGTCATCTTTATGTCCCTGGAATCCGGCACAGTGCCGGATGCTGTAGAAGCCACCAGTAGCACTCGCTGAATCAATAGTGGACCGTCCGAATGGAGAACGGGAAGGACTGAGTGACTGGGTGAAGCCTGAGTGGAGGTGGGGAGACCCCGGTGGGCTCTCTGACAGAGGTGTCTCTTTGCAGGCAGTGGAGGAGCTGCTGGAATCCTTGGACCTGGAGAAAAGCAGCTGCAGCATGGGCCTGAGCCGGGTGAGTTGCCCCTACAGGAGGGCAGCCGGGCCTTCACTCTCTGGTCACCCTTATCCAGATGATCGGCCCTCCCCTCCTGCTCTCCCTGCTCTGCCCAACTTCAGGAATCTCTCGGGACCCCTTCTAGGTCTTGCCCCCCAGCCCCTCCTGCCCCATCACTCTGGGGCTACCCTTCCTCTCAAGCTGCCCCCTTCAGGGCTAAGCCCAGGAAGTTAGATATTCCACCTGCAGCAAGCGTGACTCTCCCCCCCTTTGAATAACTGGGCTTGTTCAGTGCCATGAACACCTCTCTGATATCAGGAGGGAGTGGGTTGGAAGATGGTCCTGAATTGGCCTGAGGCCTGGTGTGGGGAGTGGGGAAGGCAGGAGGGAGGAGAGCTGGGAGAAGCAGGAAGGCAGTCGGCAGGTGCTCCAGAAGGCAGGGCCCCCTTTAGGGGAGTTGTCCAGGGCTGCCAGGGTCCCAGAGAGCAAGCAGGACTTGGTGAGGCTGTGCCGAGCCACCTGCCCACAGGCCAAATTCCTCATCTGAATGGAACGCGGTGCATAAAAGGCAGGCACGCCCGCCCAAAGTGCCAGTCTGCAGCATCTACCCGCACCAAAGGGCCAGCCGAGCGTCCCTCCCGCGGGGCCCGGAGCCTGTGCACCCCTCTCTCCCAAGACCAGGAGGCTTGACAGCGGCATCCACGTATGTGCTCCAAGGGCTGCGGTGGGACAGAGAGCAGTTGGGAGTCCCCAGGAGGGTTCTGGCCTGTCCATCTGTCAGCAGAGAGGAGAGGAAGTCATGGGGAGTATGAGGTGGAAGGGGAGGCTCCCCGAAAGAGGCTCCCGTATTGCTTGTCGGCTCTGTTCTCCCTGTTCTGCATTCTGAGCCACTGGGAATCCCTTCCCCGACCCCTCACTCTTTGTCTCCACTGTCCCTGGTTTTCTCTTTTCCTTTTGGCCCTGGCAGTCCCTGCTGGTCTCTGTTCCTTGGTTTCAGATTCTGTTATTTTCTGTTTCTTTCCTGGTTCTCTGTTTCTCCTGTGATCCCACCCTCTTTCCGTGTCATCCTTCTGGTTTTGGTCTCGGCTGTGTCTGGCTCACCTCCTTCCTTCCTCCTCCCCACTGTCTCGAAGCTCAGAAGCTGCCAGCTGAGCTTCCTCCCTGGGAAGCCTGCAGTCAAAGATTTCACTGCGGCCTCTTGGTTTCTCCCTGGGTGGGCTCCTGCCCCTCTGGTAGGCTAAGCTGCTGCTGGCTGGCACGGGGGTGGCACCTCCTCCAAGACATGCCTCGGGCAGCTAAGAGCCTGTACGGGCTGGTCCTCTTCCCAGCTGCCATCTCAGACTCTGCATCATCACAGGTGCCTGGCTGAAGGAGGCAAGTCCCACTCATGCTCAGAGCAGAATAGAGGCAAAGTCGGATGTTCACTGACATCTGGTTTGCCAGAGAAATTTCAGGGCTTCTCGGCTGTGATTAACAATGGCTGGTGAACGAGGATTCTCTGTGTGTTTATCACATTGCTTCAGAGGAAGGGGGTCTCAATCCAAGCCCACGGGACCCTGGGGGTTTAGGCAAGGAGTCTGGGGGTCTGAGAGCCTCCTGATGTTGTTTGTAAAATATATATGGACGGTTATGTTGGCGGGGGC